AGAATAGAATAGAATAGAAAAATAATTTTATTCTGGGACGAAGTCCCTTCAGAATAACAAAAAAGTACAGAAATTAAAATTTTACATCTGGCCAGATAAAAACAAACATAACAAATTAAGATAAAGATAGGTTATTAAAAAAAAGAAAAGAAAAAAATATTGGTTATACATACTATATACAAAATAAAATAAAAAAATCTATATAAAAAACTCTTGAAACCATACTAAGATACTTAAAACTATGTACAATGTTAAAATATAAATAAACCCTTTTAGAAAAAATAAAAAATACAGAAAAAATAAATGTATATTCTTCTTAACAGTAAAATCTGTTTCTGTTGAAAAAAAAAAAAAAAAAAAAAGAAAGTCGAATCTATAATAAGTATTTAGGTTATGAGCTATATGTGAATATGGTCTTATAGATAATATGTAATTTTACATAAAAGGTTAGCTGGTGCCTGACTGTTTTTGGGACAGGAATTGGAATAGGAGGGTTTTGAATGTAGATAAGGATGAAGAATGTCGAATTTTGATAGGAAGGGAATTCCAGAAACTAACAGAACGTGCAATAAAGGAGTTTTGGAACGAGGCAGATCTGTGAGAAGGAATGTAAAGGTCGGAAGGTCGAGATCTTGTGGAGAGGGAGTGGACTGAGGACTTGAATTGGAGAAGGTTGTAGGCGTAGGAAGGACGATGATTGTTGATGATATGATAGAGGAATGTACCTAGTTAATATTGTCTTCGAATGGAGGAGAAGAGCCACTCTAACTCAGTGTAGTGGTGAGAGACATGGTAGAATCTCGGGGCACCAATATAGATAAATTTAATGGCCATCGGAGAGAAGACTTTAGCTGAGTTTCATTAAAATCGGTACAGTCACCCAACACAGGTTTTACGACCGCCATCTTGAAAGAAAAAAAGAAAATCCCTTCTGTTGTAGGCATCGGAGAAAGACCAAAGAAAGACAGTTTTTTACTTTGCTGCCTTACTAGTAGGAAGTTAACGTTGGGTCAATTCTAGTCTGGTTTTCGACGGATCTATACGTTTCAGAGCCCTCTGAGTCCGAAAAACACATTTTTAGCCATTGGTCTGTCAGTCTGTGTCAAGATTTTCTCGAGAAATAGTGAACCGATTTTGTTGCTTTTTTATTTTTTTATTTTGTAGTGTTTTGACTACTGATGCCTGTGACACAAATTAGGGCTCCATGCGCAATAGCTGCTACGCAATAAATGAACAATTTGTTTTTCTGTAGACTGTAACGCGAAAACTGTTGACAAAATTAGGCTATGACAAAAAGTTTTTGATCAGCAATATTAGAGGGTATTGATGTCGAAGATCCTTGTGGTGCTCCGATTCACCATCTTGCTTCCCACTGCCAGGCACCCTGGAATCTGAACGCCCGACTTTGTCTTCAGGATAGTTGTTTGTTCATGATATTGTTCCATGTTTTGGGTCGGGTTGCCCTGACGAGATACAACTGAGGTAGTTAGCCCCAGAGGGTTTCGTTTTAGGCTGAGGTTCTATGGCTATATGATAAGGATGAATCCTGAAAGACTTAACCATAAAATCTTTCAGCGCATCCACAGTCATAAGAATGTAAGCGGGTATTTTAAACAGATTAAGGATGATATGGACCAAGTGGGGCTAAGGGACCAAGATTGTTTAGATAGAGATGAGTACAGGAAGGCGCTCAAGAGAATAACGGTTCTTGCGGGCAAGAAGCGCTCCAAAAAGGGAGTTGCGTGGTCTGAGGAGTGAAAACGTAAGCACGCGGAGCTCATGAGGGGCATATGGGAGAAGAGGAGGCAGATGAAGAGGAAGCATTAACTTCATGGTATTCGCGTGGTCTTTAAGGCCTGTTCGTGAAAAAAAAAAGAAAAAAAAAAAAGAGGGTATTGAAATTTTTTCACTGATCTATCTTAAACCGGTTTACATTGATTTAGTTTATCAAGTAAATCGTAATCAAATCTTTTCTTTGATCAAATTTCAGGAAAATAAATCTAATTCAATTTTTTTTTTTCTTGATGGACATATGTAAAGGTATAAAAACTTTTCTGAAATAGGTAAGAAAGTCGTGTGAGTGCACACACCAGATTTTTTATTCTATTTTCGATTTCCACGTATCGTGAATTGTAATACCTCAAATTTTTTAGGGTTTAAATGTTTGAATTACAATGGTTCATTATTGAAAATAATAAAACAAAAGAATCGATCTAATATCTACATCATAAACCTACCTTAAATACGCAATTCCAGTTTTTTGGAGTTACTTGGTTATTTAGACCCAGGGAACCATGAAATATGTTATATTGGGTTTCGGACTATATATTTTATATCATTTAGTTAGCTAAATTATTTTGATATTTTATATCATAGTTAACTAAGAGCAAAAATATCAATTTAGATATTAGAAAATTTTGATGGCATATATTTTGAGTATTTATGAGATCTGGGAAATTTCTACCTTGAACTATCAGATACAGAAGCGATAAGTACAGATGGTATTTCCCAGTTCTCATTTCACGGAAGGCGTTGATTTCCCTATTGCAATATTGTATAACTATTATATAAAATATTATGTTAACGGGATATATTCCAATTTCGAATAATGAATATTATAATTATAGCTTGAAAAAAAAGAACTTTCAAATTCTTGTTGCAAATAATTTATTTAATTGGTTCCTACTTCTACCACCATTAGTTAACATATCTAAATATTGCTTCCTCACTACCGAAGGTAGGAAAGCATTGTATTCGTGCGAGAGGTTAAAAAAACATCTGTGCTCAGAATCGAAAATTTTCACTCGCGTTTTACGTTTCAGACATCAAGGATCAAATTTGGTTCGGTATCTATCTGTCTGTCTGTAGTCAAATCGATGTGACGGGCATATCACCTAATACCGTTCATCCAATCTTCATGAATTGTGCGGGTAGGTGTCTAGATGGTCCCATATTAATTTTATTAAATTCTAACCAGCACTTCCGCAACAGGCACAAACGCATTTTTGTAGACATACCAATATTTCTGAAACGGATCGTGTGAAATATTCAATTGCTTAAAATAATAAAAAATTAAAGGTGCTTTAGGAGAAGCTAATATTGAAAATTAGCCATTTAATCCCTGTTAGAGAACTAAATCAGAATAAAACTACATTTTATTACAAACTGCTTAATTTTACATCTGATATAATGAATTTAATCAAAATCGTTAGAGCCATTTTCGAGAATATCGAAAAATGCGTTAAGTCCATGATATAAAGTGCCACTTCCGGTTAGCCGATTTTTATGAAAAATTTGCTGTAACATCCCCCACATAAAGCCTTAAATATGCAATTTCACTTTCGTACGATTTTCGAGCTAGACTATTAACACACACACACACATATAGACCATTTTGCTGGACTCTGTTATTTGGACTCAGGGGATCTCAAAACGTGTATTCCGGTTGAAAACTAAGATTCAAAAATTTTCACGATCGCAGTACTTTCCTTTACTATATATTTCAATATAGCAGCAGTGAGATGTTAAGCGTTTCTGTGTAACAACACAAACCCGTATTGCCGATCAGGCACGGCAGGGATGTAAATAAATTAAAAAAATCTGGTGCGCGCAACACACAACTTTCACTTACCGATCTACTTTGAATAGAAATTATTTTGTGGCAATACTGGGCTATTATAAAATTTTTTGAAATGTATTTTCAACGGAGCTAAAGCTTAAAGCTTACAGATAAAAAGTCATTAAGACCATCAAAATTACAAAATGTCTATTTAATATATCGACGACAGGCAATAAAACTCTAGTCACTCCATCTGCTTTTATAAACCACACAACTTTCTTTGCTTTTTTATACCTCAGAATGACTAACTCCAATTTCAACATTTTTGAGTATTACCATTTTAGTGATATTTTTAGTTGAAAAAGTTATCTATGCAGACAATGAGTAAGTTGATTCCTGAGGTGGTGATTGCAGTGTTGAAATATAGAACTGTGAATGAAGGTATAAATTTAGGTACTTATTTCTTATGAAAGATGTTCTTAGGAAAGGTACATTATTAAATATCTGTACAAAAAATGTTTTTTAAGTCTCAATAATTAAAAAAATATATTTTAAATTTATCCAAATTTTCGCCTCTTCAGGGAAAAAAAACTAAAGACCATAATTTCCGGGAATATTAATCAGAAGATATACGGATAATATATCGTTGGAAATCGGAGAATTTTAGAAAAAACAATATCTAATATAGAAAGTAGTTACAAAGAAAAATAAATAAAAGTTGATTCCAATTATTGCACTAAACTTTTTTTTTTTAATCATTAGTAATATGCTATTAAAAATGGTATTACTTCAGTAACACATTCGAAATTTAAAAACCAAAACAAAGGATATAACATTTGCAGTAAAGCATATAAAAAAAACTAGAGACCATATCATTGCTCCTAATTGTCCGATTTTAACGATTTTTTTTTTTTTTTTTTTTAGGAAATTCCATAAACTTTTAAAAAACATGTAAAAATTGTATACTTTTTGAGTTATTTGACCATCCCTCGTAACTGTTTTTCTGTTAAGTTACTGTCACATCCGGCTCATATACCTTAAATACTTAATATCAGTTTCGTACTACTTTTCGTTTATGAGCTAGACTGTTAACACACACGTACACACACACAGACCATTTTGCGACACTTAGTTATTTATTTAGACTCGGGGGACCTCAAAACATGTATTTCCGTTGAAAACTGAGATTCGAAAATTTTCACGATCGCAATACTTATCCTTACTATATATTACATATATACGTAAGTGAAAGTAAAAATTTCATATATAGATAAGTGAAAGTAAAAAAAAAAAAAAAAATGCAAATTCATTCATGATTTCCTCAATTCATCAATAATGATTAAGGATCAATTTCGACAGCTGGCGAACACTAGTTTTCGAATCATATCGAAATATTGCTATTAATTTTAATGTAATTGCTATTAATTTATTTCAATTTAAGGTCCCGGGTTGTTGCGCATGGTCCAACACGCCCTCACTCTGCCTTATTTCTTCAGTGGAGTCAGACTTTACGTCGAAAAATAGTAAGTTTAATGAATTTATCTTCTCTTCCACTTCAATTTGTCCGCTTCTATTGATTTGAACTTTCATAGTTGGGAAAAGAGCGTGACTCCAATCAACCTCTGGGAGACCCTCGAAGGATTCGGCAGCTTTCCGGAAGATTTGGATTATCTGATGAGCGGATGGACGGAACAGCCCGGATATCCCGTTGTGACAGCGAATCTTAAGACAGCAGGAGTAGTGCTCACTCAGGTAGCGTACATAAAATGGTTGACTCAAAGAAGGAGTTGATCGGGGGGTGCGGTCAAATCAATATTAAATTAAACAAGTAGAATTATTTAATTTTGCCGACGTTTCGACCCACTTTGCAGGTCTTCATCAAGGCTACAAAGATAAAAACATAGTGAAAATAAAATAAATGAATATAAGTAGATATAAAATAAGAATAACTTCTCTGAGTAAAATAAGAATAAGTTTTCTTAACACACCTATCCTTCAACTATACACCTTATTATTATCTTCATGCAGCCTAGTATTTAGTGTTGCCCAAATGCAAACGAACGAGTCTTGTCATTGCAAACTCAGTCTTGGTCATGGTCTTGGTCTTGCAGTTACTTATTAGCTTATTACTATAGAGATATTACTGTGATATTTTAGATAGGAGAACCTAACTAAGCCCGAACGAAAATTTAGAGAGTTAAATGTAAAAGTATATTGGTTATACAATTATTATTATAATAACTAAAATGTCGAGTATTAGTAACTATTTGCCTAATTTTTATTAAAAATCAATTTTTTTATCACACCTAGTCCTTCAACTATAGACGCTTATGTATTATCTTCATGCAGCAGCCTAGTATATTCCATTACCTCTTTCAAAAAACTGAATGTCAATTGTCATCTATATATAGTACAACTTGTTTTTACCATCATAATCTTGTTTTACACCACTAGCGGATTCACGATTTAATTTTGGGTGGGAGCTTCAGCCCGGAAGCTTTTTTTTCATAAAAATAACGATAATTCCTTTGGAAAAACAGAAAGAAACTAACTACCTATATGAAATGGCGTTTAAGTGACTTTTTAAGTCCGTTTAAATGTAATTACACGAACAATAATACTTTAAGAGGTATTTTAGGGAAATTTTTTTTTCATAAATATGGTTATGTTTTACCATTTTGGGGGGGCTTCAGCCCGAAAGCCCCCCTCCCCCCGTAGATCCGCCCATGTTTTACACTTATACTTACATTCTAAATTTCTCTTCTTATAATTATTTTGTTCTTATAGAGTTATTTATACTTAATAATCTATCCTAACGATATTACACTAATGTTATCCTTTTAATCTTTCAATTTCTTCACTTCTTAACCTTTAGTCCCGTTATCTATTTACCTACAGATATCAAATGTAACCTCCACTAGCTTGTTATCCACTGATATCTTATTATTATGTTTTCTTATTCTTATTTTAGCTTTACTTTGTCAATACTTATTCAATTTACAATCTATTTATTCGTTAACATTCATTTTTCTTTATATGTTAACCTACATTTATCAAATGTAATCTTTATTAGTTTGTTATACACTCATTCCTTTTATCTTTATTTATATTTTATCGCAATCTGTTTATTTTTAACTTAGATGCTATATTCTCCTTTATTTTCTATTTTTATTCATACTTATTTTCCATTTTTGTTTGTAACTTCTACATATAATAATTAACTACATTATACCCACTATATCTCTGATATCATCTTTTTATTTCTGTATCAGACAACTTCTTCTTATTTTATATCTACTTATATTCATTTATTTTATTTTCACCATGTTTTGTATCTTTTGTAGCCCTGATGAAGACCTGCAAAGTGGGTCGAAACGTCGGAAAAAATTAAATAACTACTATTTATTTAATTTAGTATTAATTTGACCGCACCCCCTCCCCCCTCCCCCCCGATCAACTCCTCATATTATATCAACGGTCAACCATCTCTACAACATTTCTAATTATAGTTGAATGAATGCTATTTTTTTTGTTTTTGTTTTAGGAACCATTTTCAATTGATGGGACTAAAGCTTCGAACCTCTCATGGTGGATTCCAATAAACATTATGACCTCAGAGGAGATTTATCCCGACACGCACGCCAAGTTCTGGCTTCCGCCCAAACTGGCCTTCAAAGTCCCGGCTCCTCGGAAGTGGATTATGATCAATCCAGAAGGCACTGGTAATTCCATTATATAATATTTTTTTATGATTATACTTATATAGAATGTCCTAAAAATAAGGCAAGATTTAAACTAAATACACAGTTCTTTCTTCTTTTGTTTCCTTTTTCTTTGTCAATTTAACAGCTGATAGTTTAGGGTTAATAAAAATGGGGTGCGTCATACGAGCGAACAATGTGTTTTCATTATTGAAAAATACTTTTAAAATAATGAAATTCCAAGATACGAGGTTTTAGTACCTAATTAAATAGACAAAATTTGCCAACTTTCAGATTGAAAACGCCCGTAGAGTTTTCGTAAATAAAATATCTGTTGATTACGATGAGATGAAGCTATTCACGAAGTTACCGGTGGATGTTAATAATTTGATAAAAAGGGTTTTGTAACAAGGAATATTAAGTGTTATTCGTTGTTGCATATGATTATTTGTGAATATACTCGTAAGGGTGATTCGATTATCATTTTAGGAGCAAGTTTTAGTCCATTACGACTTTTACGTGATTAGTTAAGTCTAACTTGATTTTTTCCCCACTGCTATACTGTGAAGAAGTATTTCTTCATAATGAAATTTTAAAAAATAAAGAAATAGCTTCTGAAGCATGCTTACATTTTTTAAAATAACACAACAAAATATGCCGATAATGAATGATATTTTCTTCCATATCCACAGTGCAATAGCAAACATAATACTGAGCTAGTTTCAACAAGATTTAACAGATATAGTTGTTGGCATATTACAAACAGGATAAACAATCCACCTTAGGGACTAATTCATCAGATAAGAAGTGTATCATAGTGAACTATTTCCAGCTTCAATATTTCCAGTCCAGAGTCCTATTTGATGTATAGAGCTAAGGTTAATAAGTCAGTTAAGGGTTTCAAATCCCGAATTAATTAAGCTCTATACGAAAAACAAAAGTTTCTACTTCAAAGCCCAGGAAACCTGCACTTTCTGTAACCAATTCATTACTAACAGCCTGTTCCATATCCTTCTGTACTGTGAAAAGCTAACAGACGACAGACACAAACATTTACGAGCATTTCTCTCTGCGCCAAGTGATATAAACAAGATACAAGACATACTTCGAATCGATAACATAGAGAAACTTAACAAGATTTACTGGTTCATAATGTCAGCGTGCAATTCACTGGATTCCTTAAGCTTCCACACACCAACAAGTGCTATGACTAAGGATAATTGTTGGTCAGTTCCATTAATTGTTTGTTTCCTTTTTTTTTTACTTTGCTACCTATACTAGGTAAGGAAACTATTGCAATCGGGTCAAATTTCCGCATGCGGTTTTCGATGGATCTATACGTTTCAGAGCACCCTGAGTCCGAAAAACACATTTTTAGCCATTGGTCTGTCTGTCTGTCTGTGCCAAGATTTTCTCGGGAACTACTGAACCGATTTTGTTGCTTCTTTTTTTATTTTGTAGGGTTTTGACTACTGATGCCTGTGACAGAAATTCGGTGCTCCATGCGCAATAGCTTGCGCGCAATAAATGAAAAACATGTTTTTCTATAGACTGTAGCGCAAAAACGGCTCTAACGATTTTGATGAAACTTTTCTATAATGTTCTAATCATTGTTCTTTCAATTTTCGTATATAGACAAATTCCCGAAAAAAAATCAGGAAAAAAAGTTATGAAGAAAAGAAAAATGTTATGGGGCCTAACTCCCTAAGTATATATTATACGGTAAAATTTATAATAAAACTTTTGAAAGGTAATTAAATTACAACAAACAAAAAAAAATCATCGGAATCGAACTAGTATTAGTGATGATACAGCTTATTCTATTTTTTACAAATTTTTTTAACTTATTGCTTTCCTAACTATACTAGGTAAGGAAAGTATTGCAATCACATTTCCGACATGCGTTTTTCGACGGATCTATACGTTTCAGAGCCTCCTGAGTCCGATACGCCGTTTAGCCTGTCGTTTGAAAGGTAATGAAATTCCCTCCAAAGCCATATAAAAATCGTTCATTTTGGACAACTATTAACGAAGTTACAGTTATTAAATTTCCAACGTGTGATTGTGTTTTCATATCCTGGTATCAGAAAGGGGTGAATGAGAGAATAAAGATGATTAAGTGAAAGTAACAAAATCTGTTGCCTGCATCACAGAATCTTCACTATTTCCTCTACTTTTAACAGAAATTACCTACCTTAAGCTGGTTTACATTGCTTTAGTTTATCAAATTAATCATACTCAAATCTTTTGTTTGTTTAATTTTCAGGGAAATAAATTTAGTTTAATTCTTTTTTGTTTCTTCATGAACATATGTAAAGATATATAAACTTTTTGAAATAGGTAGGAAAGTGGCGTGAGTGGACACACCAGATTTTTTTTTAGTAGCTATTGGCTAGCTTTAGTGTTATCAATAAACAAATTTCGAGAACAGTGTATATAAATAAAAATCTGGTGCGGGAATTACACGACTTTCACTTACCAGCCTCTTCTTAGTGGAAATAATTATTTTCTGACATATAAAAACATTTCTGAAATAGGTAGGAAAGTTGTGTGAGTGGACACACCAGGTATTTTTCTTATGGTTTTATTGATAATTTAGATAGAAATTAATTGGAATGTAATGAAGTATTATTGTTTTTATAATAAGTCAATGTACAGTTATGACAAACTGGACTCATGTAGGTGAAATAAAGTTATAATTTGTATAAGATTGTGAACTAATCATCATAGTAATCATAAGTGAAATAAAAGTAAACAGAAAAGCCGAAAGGACTTACCTGTCAACCCAATATTTTATTCATCCATGTAGATTAATGGTAATTGATTTCATTTTATTTTTGTTCTTCGAAATATTTTTTTTTTTGGTGGACGACACTCTCGCCTCATCTCTATTTTTATAGAGGGGAGGGGCGATCGCTCCCTCGCCTACCCCGGAAGTCTGCGCCTATGACAATATACTTATATTATATATTATTTACATGCAAATGATTAATCTTCCAATTCTGTAGGTTTCTTCCGGGTGAAATACCACCCTGAGCTCTTCGCCAGACTCAGCAATCAGCTGACGACAGACCATTCCAAACTTCCTCCCCTCAGCAGGGCTAAGCTCATCGACGACGCAGTCTGGCTGTCGAGGGCAGGACTCCTCAATGTCCAATCCGCTCTTGGTCTCGTCAGTTACCTTTCCTCGGAGTTGGACTTCATCGTCTGGAAGTCCGCTGCTGTCTCTTTGGATCTACTGGACTCTCTATTAGCGCATAGCAAGATCTACCCATACTACAAGGTTAGTTTTATTTAAGTACAAACTTTACTCGGCCACGCGCTACTATGGTTTACACTGGCAAAATGAAAAAGAAAGAAAATAGAAAGCACATATGAGTAGATTAATAGCAAAGGACATCTGTCATTTTTAAAAAGTTGAGAAACAAATTTGTATGTAAAATGGCTTCAATTTAAATTAATTCTAATGATTTTTACTTTCACTTACGTATATATGTAATATACAGTAAGTGAAAGTATTGCGGTCGAGAAAATTTTTGAATCAACGGTGATTCAAAAATTGAAAATGAGTTTTCAACGGAAATACACGTTTTGAGGTACCCTGAGTCTAAATGACCAAGTCCCGAAAAATGGTCTGTGTGTTTGTATGTTATCTGCACGGGCGGATCTACGGGGGAGGCTTTCGGGCTGAAGCCCCCCCAAAATGCTAAAATATAACCATGTTTTATCGAAAAAAATATTTAAAAAGTATCTCTTAAAGTATTATTATTCGTGTGATTACATTTAAAAGGGCTTTAGGAATCACTTAAACACCATTTCATACAGGTAGTAAGCTTCTTTCTTTTTTTCCAAAGTAATTATCGTCATTTTTATGAAAAAAAGAACTTTCGAGCTGAAGCCCCCCCCCCCCAAAATTAAATTCTGGATCCGCTAGTGGTTATCTGTCTAGCTCAAAAACGAAAAGTCCTATGAAACTGATATCACGTATACAAGATAGGTATATGCCTTAGATGTGACAGCAACTTTTTCCTTAAAATCGGCTAACCGGAAGTGCCACTTTATATCAACGCTGAAACACATTTTCACAATTTTCTCAGAAACGGCTCAAACGATTTTGATTAAACTCGGTGTATCATTGTATAATTAAGTGGTCTTTAATATCAGTTAGGTCTTATCCCCATTAATGTAACTTTACAGGGCTTAAATGCCCAATGTTCATATGCGTCTTCCTTTAAAGTGCCTTTAATATGGTTTATTTTAAAAAGTTAATCATTTCATATTATTCAGAGTTACGAAAAAATGCTAAATATAACTTTTGAAAGAATTTGATAAGTTAATAAAGGAGAAAAAAAAATGCAGAAAAACCTGTGTTGCTATAGACTGTAGCGCCGAAACGAATGTACCGATTTCAATGAAACTTCGCTTAAGTAATTTTCTCGATACCCTTTAAATTTATCTATATGACATACTTTAACGAAAAGAAGCTGGAAAAAAAGTTACGAGGGATGTTTAAATTAAATTCCGAATAACTCAAAAAGTATACGCTTTTTGGGAGATATTGTATATGGTTTTATAAAAGTTTACGGAATTTTCTTAAAAAAAAACGTTAAGATCGGACAATTAGGAGGAAAGATATGGTCTCTAGTTTTTTTCCCTGATGAGACGAAAATTTGTATACATTTAAAATATACTTTTTTAATTGTTGACACTAAAAAGACATTTTTTCTACAGATATTTAATTAAGTATCTTTCATTAGAAATAAGTACCTAAATTTATACCTTTATTCACCGTTCTGTATTTCAACACTGCAATCACCACCTCCGGAATCAACTTACTCATATTCTGCATAGATAACGTTTTCAACTAAAAATATCACTAAAATGACATCACTCAAAAATGTTGAAATTGGAGTTTGTCATTCTGAGGTTTATAAAAGCAAAGAAAGTTGTGTGGTTTATAAAAGCAGATGGAGTGACTAGATTTTTATTGCCTGTCGTCGATATATTAAATAGACATTTTGTAATTATCGGGTTGAGAGGGTTCGCATCCACACAACCTGACGTTAATTGTAGTATTGTCATTAAATACATGTCTCATTTCGTCGACTTGAGGCTTCTATGATCGAGAGAGGAGGAGTTTATATTATTTATCGATGGTGTTTTTGATCGGCAAGCCATATTATCACCATCGCCATTCTTCACCAAATCTCAAGATTGAACCACCAATTCCGAAGGCTTCCTTCTCCTTCAGGCGGGAAAATAGTCCAATCATCCCAAAAATTCAGGCAAACAAGTTATGAAAGAAAACAAACTTTATTTGCGAATAACTAAAAAATTATACATTTTTCCCGTTATGCCCATGATTATATGAAAGATTACTAAATTTCCTACAAAAGGATCACTACAGGATCACTAAGATTACTAAATCGAAATCGGATAATTTTTAGTAAAGATACAGGTTATTGAAATTTGTAAACATGTTGATTCCAAACATTAATGAAGATTTGAATTAATATTTGTTTCCTTTGTCGATTACATTTATCGATAAAGTAACAATTGATTTCTTTATCTTTTGATACGTTGCATTATTATATTTTCTTATTAATTTAATATTTTAAAGCAATATACTGTGCGAATTTTTCGCACTGGCCTTCTAGTTATTATTATTAAATTATTTTTTGGTTATAATTGTTGTTTTATTTCCTGGATCGGCCTAGGCTGAAAGATTACTTTGCTAATTTGTCAAATTATTTCGTAACTTAACCTTCGAATTAATTGTAACAGGATATTTTTGAGAACGAGTTCTTGAGAAAGATTTGGTTGGAAGTAAAAAGGGAAAGGACTACAGAATCTAGGCCTTGTGTCCCCATAGGAGGGCAGGGAAGTCGTCAAGAGAGAGGTAGGAGGAGGGGGACAGAGAGGTTGTCTTCCACAATAATTTTAAAATATAAAAATTTAGGAAATTTAAGAGTATTCTAAAACTGCGAAAATTGTGGTGAAGCATGAGTAAAGTACTAAAAGAATGGGGTGGCCGAGAGGGGTAACGTGTGTATAAAATACGCGTTGTTTAGCAACCAGATATAAACCGATGGTCACGAGTTCAAATCCCCGGTGCCGGAGGGATTTTAATTCCGTTATAATTCCCACGTCCCACGGTGGGACGAAAGAAGGGTTTTAGTTGATATGGGTCTAGAGCTCGTAAATGATGTCGGATTTTTTTATTATTTTTTTATTTTTTATTTATTTATTTAAACATATAATATTCTGTCACGGGAACAATAAGTATATTGATAAATGAACACATTCCCACCGTACAAAAAAAAAAATTAACAAAAGTAAAATAATAATAAATAAAAACTATATAATAATAATAATAATAATAATAAGGCTTAGCGAACCCGAAGGTTCGATGCCGACACCACCAATCGCTTGTTACACACCTCCCTCCACCGTTCGCCGTCCAAACCCAGTCCCTTCAGATCGGCTTTAATGCAATCTTCCCACCTTCGCTTCGGTCTACCCCTCGGACGCTTACCATTCGGCACAGCAAATATTAACCTTTTAGGAATTCTCTCGTTACTAAGCCCAACAACTTTACAAGCCCATTTGATTCGCCGCGATGAAATTACCTCAATTATATTACCCGGATACAGCTCACGCAATTCGGCATTGTGTAACCGTCTGAACTCTCCGGCTAACTCATCCTTCTTCGGTCCGAATATTCTACGCAATACTTTATTTTCAAAAACCTTAAGACGCTGCTCATCCCTTAATGTAAGCGGCCAAGTTTCGCATCCATAAAGAACTGTAGGCAAGATAATTGTTTTATAGATTCTAATTTTTAAGTTTCGGGACAAGAGGCGCGAACTAAGTAGTTTTGTCACAGAAAAATAACAAGCATTCCCCGCCTTCAGTCTAATCTTAATCTCTTCTTCAATTTCGTTTTTTCTAGTTATCGTAGAACCTAGATACCTAAATTTATCTACCCGTTCAAACATATTACCATCTATATCGATATCACCAGTAGTATCGCCATTTTTGCAGCTAACCATATATTTTGTTTTATCCACGTTTATTTCGAGTCCTAGTTCTTTACCGGCTTTCATCAACGTTGTCGTATTTAGTTTTATAGTTTCAACGTCTTCGCTTAACAGTACCAGATCATCAGCATAGCCCAGCACGGATATTGTTCCACCCAGATCCAACCCTTTCTCGGTTTGCATTACCTCCCTAATGGCATGTTCTAATGCCAAATTGAACAAGACAGGCGAAAGAGAATCCCCCTGTTTTAAGCCCGAACGAACCTCAAATTTTTCTGACAAATTATTACCGATTCTAACTTTATTGAGTGTCTCCGTCAAGCACATCCTGACTAGATTTACTAGTTTTTTTGGAATCCCCTGCTCGATTAGAATATTATACAGTTTCTGGCGGTCAATAGAATCGTAAGCCTTTTTAAAATCTATATACAGCTGGTGAACAATACCGTTATACTAATAAAAACTATATACAATAAAAAATAGAATAACCTAAATATAAGTAAATTAAAAACATAAAAATACAGTCATACCTATATACAATCAGGCGGGAAACCCAAATCCCTGCGCTACTCTCTCAACCGCCTCACCGGTGCTAAAGCCGGTGGAGTTTGAGCGAGAGCGCTTTAGCCACATACACTCATGTCTTGAGTGGAGAATCTGGCCATTGCCAGAACTCCAAGATACATACTACAAAAGATCTCTGGGCCACTGTCGCTTCAACCTTCGAGGAGGGTTGTAGGGATGACTGTAACTAGATAGGGATTGGGCTAGGGAATTTGGATGATTGATAAGGTTCTGATAGAATTTTGAAAATTGTTCAGGGATAAGGTCAAGGACAAATGGGATATTAAGGTCATGATGTAGGGTTTTACTGGTTACATAGAACGAAGCATCGACTATTGTTCGGAGGACTTTGGATTGAAAGCATTTGATGTTAGAGAATTTTGCTGTCCCCCAAAGTTCAAGTCCGTAGGTCCAAATATGTCGGATTAAGTTTATATTTAGTACACTTATGTTTTCAAGGCCAAGGAACACTAATGTGACGTCATAATAGAAAATGTCCCCGAAAAACAAAAAAATACCGATTTCTTTGTTTAAACCTATGAATTTTTAAATTTGACAATAAGTTTTTTTATATATATATTTATAAATGTATTTGGGCCTGTTAAATTATTGTTGACAATCAGCAAATGTGATGGCGATAATGATATAATGACATGACAGGCATGGGGAAGGAAAGTAC